CCGCTTCTCAGAAGTGCGCGGATTCTGGGCCTTGATGGCGTCGTAGAGGCTCTTGCAATCCGTCACCTGAAGTTGCCGAAGGTGGCGGACAGCACGATGTGCAGGTACTCCATCCAAGAGCTCGCCGAAGGTGAGTCCGACGAAGTAGGCCCGGTCCACGGACTTATCACATGCCGAGGCTTCGGCTGCCAGGGTGCTCTTGCAAACCCGGGATGACTTGTTGGAGCACCAGTCGATGATCGTCGCTGGTGTGTTGGCTTCTGTGCACTTGGGGGATGTTATCATCACGATCACCCCTTGCTGTGATGCACACTGCTCAGCGTTCGCCCATGAGGAGTCGGCGTACCCAATAATGACGGTGCTCTCGTTGATGGGCACGTTGTTGAAGGTGAGGCCAACATCCGGGGAGCTCTTGGCATAGACCAGCGCCTCGTTGAGCACAGGCAGGTTCCGTGAGTTAAGGCTGGTCCAGGCAGAAAGGTCAGGCCTGCATTGTGAGCTCAGCCATTGAAGGCTTCCGTTGATGGACTTGGCTTCGGTCTTCTCAGAGGCTGTGGGTGGTTCATCCGGCTTGCGGCGTCCAAGCTTGGACGGCGAGGGTGTGTTGTCGGTGAACTTCCTGAGCGTAACCTTCACCTTGTAGCCCTGGGCGTTGGGGATCAGCGTGATCTCCTTGTTCTTGAAGTCCAAGGGCGCGTCGATCCCGAGTTCCTTCTGGGATCCCCAGGTGAAGAGGTCGATCACCTCCTGCCGGTTGAACTCTGAAGAGTGAGTCATAAGGAAATCGTCAACGTAGACGATGACGACACACGCCAGGCGGTTGCCGATGTGCTTGTAGAAAAGCATCTTGTCCATGGCGTGCTGCTTGAAGTCTGCTTGCAGCAATCGGCGTGTCACCTCTCTGGTCCATGTTCGAGGGGCATTGGCCAATCCGTAGATGTTGCCGCTGACCTTGTAGAGGCGCGCCGGAAAGGTTCCAGCTCTCCTAGTGATCTCGTCCTGGGGCGGCAAGAGGTACAGGTCATCTGGCCGCTCATCAGCATCAGGAAGTCCCTGAAGAAAGGCCGTGGAGACGTCTCCGGCCCAAAGCGTCCACTTGATGCCGGAGTTCTGCACGTTGCCGTTTGCTCCTGCGGCATATATGGCCAACAGGGTGTACTCTGAGACCCGCGTAGGTGTCGGAGAGTCCCTCGAGATCACTGCCAAATCTGGGTCCAAGTGGCCCAATGCCACCACCCGCGTCTTGGCAACCAGCTTGCCGGGAACGCGGCTCTTGTTCCTGAAGCAGGAGCGCGAACGAAGAACTCGTCGCCGCATCGTGGGGCTCTCCAGGATCTTCTGCGCCTCCTCGTCACTGAGGGGTATCACCGATCCCCAACTCTTCCATCCCTGCTCCTCCTTGCGAGCAGACTGGATGTACATCTCAATGTCTGCCAGGGGAAGCATCATGATCTTCCGCCAAGGGATCTCCCGCTCAAGGGCCTTGGCCTCCTTGCGGTTGAGCATTTTCTGCTGTGGTGGTGCATCATCGCCCGATGATGCGTCCTCAGCGTCCGACTGGTTGTTGTGGGTGACGTCAGTCACCAAGACCGAATGGCCTTCGTTGTTAAGCTGTTGCACTGCTGCCGCCGTGAAGACAGTGGAGTGCTTGTTGAGTTGTGAGGTAGTGTCTGGACTGCCGTCCCATGAGAGTGGTGGTGGTTCGATCGTGGGATGGTTGTACGTGAGCATAGTGGAGTGGGTCCTTTTGGATGGGACCGTTGGAAGTGCTGTGCTGTCGTCTGCTATGTCGGTGAGGTCGATGGTCGGTGGTTGTTCTCCTGGCTGGTCGCGAATACCAGGTGGTGTGGATGGTGCTTGGCTTGTTGGGTCGAAAAGGACTGGAGTGTCCTGCCCAGTAATTGATGGTTCTGCTAGTGAGTGGTGTGTAGATGCCGCCGGTTGTGATGTTTGGTGCTGGTCGTCTGGTGGCTGTTGAGCTTGTCTGGGTTGCTCGGCGGTTGAAACTGCTGCTTGTGTCCCCGTGGATGGTGCTCGTGGTGTCTGAGGTGGTGTGGCTGCAGGGGACTGTAGCTGTGATTGTGCTGCACGTAGTGCCCGTGATGGTGTCCTCGATCTGCCGCGAGTGCGTGTGAGGACCTGGGGGTGTAGCTGTAGTTGTTGTCGGGTTGGTCCGAAACGTTGAGGATGGTAATGAGTGTTGTAGGTTGGTGAGTTGATGATCACCTGTTCCTGCTGCACGTGTTGGGATTGTTGTGAGACTTGTGGAGGTAGTTGCTGTGCTGGTGCTTCCTCTACAGGTGCTGGTAAGTTGTGAGGTTGGTGTTCAGTTGGGGGTGCTGCGAGTGGTAGTGCGAGTTCTGTCGGGAACTCAAAGTCGTAGCTGTCCTCCTCCGGGTCATGTCCAGCGGCTCGATGGTCCTCCCACATATCTTCTCGGATGTTGCGGGCGGCGTCGTGAAGGAGGTCGATGTCCGCCTTGTCGGGAGTCCATGACTCA